AAATGACAGAAAAGCCGAGCCGCCATGCTGCGAACGTGGCACTAGCTCACTTTGTGCAAGCGACTAGCCTTAGTGGTGATGATCTATCCAAAGCTCGGTTTATGTACGCGAAGGTTCAAGGCGCCATTCCACATGGCGACTCGCTATTGGCTGGTGGAAGTGAGAGAGCACGTTTGAGTTCGATTGGCGCCAGCCAGTGACCACATGTCAAAACATAGGAGAGCTACGTGTGCCGATAGTTGACACAAGTGAACTTCGCGATTAAACAAAAACAAATGAGAACTTCAAATGTGGAGTCGGATAGCGAGGGCGAGGGTATGACCGGCGTATGAACATTGAACATCGGACTTGCAACAGATCGGGGATGTCAAATTCAGAGCGTGCAGAGAAGCCAAGTGCAAACCATCTCCATACAATTTACCGAAGAGTTACCGGGTATATGGAAACATCACAGCTTTTGCCGAATTCAAGCCAGGTGAACCCTTGCCGGGTCTGCCTTTTTTCTTGCGTACATATGTATAAGCCCTCATAGGTGTAGGAACAGGGGGGGGGGACGGGGGGGGCGGTGGCCCCCCACTTTTCATAGTGGGGGGGGGGGGGCAGTAATGTTAACTGCCCCCCCACTTTTTGCCGAACATTAATGTATTTGTAGGTACCATCCCGAAGAACAAACTTGACGGTTCTCCGGCCTGCCCTTCCATGACGATTTCCATTTGTGCTTCATCGTTATTGAGTGCATTTTTCCTCCACCCAATGAAAGGAAATTTTGTCAGAAGCAATAAGTGGCAGCTTAGGGGCAGCGCGCGCTGGAAAGAGAGACAATACTGGCGCAGCAGAATGCGTAAACGGCGTAAACTAACAATTTATGTTAGGCGGCCTTGCATTAGTTGATCGGTTACTGGCATAGGCGTAGGAACAGGGGGCAGGGGGCCATGGTCCCCCACTTTCGAATGGGGGGCTAGCAATGTTAACTGCCCCCCCCCCCACACCTTTTGCTAACTTTTCACTTCTCACGTTTCACGCTCGCTCGTAATAAAAAAAATGTTTTTGGATGCTTCTGGAATTCGCATAGGTGCCAACCAGTGGCGGATCCAAGGTGGGGTCACATGGGTCATGCCCCCTTGGGGCCCGGGGGCACCACGGCAGGCCTACCAGGGGCACCACCGACCTATCAGGGGCACCACAGACCTGTCAGGGGCACCACAGGTCTTCCAGGGGCACCAAAGGCCTTCCAGAGGCACCACCGGCCTCGCAGGGGCACCTTGGGCCTGTCAAGGGCACCACGGACCTGTCAGGGGCACCTCAGGCTTGTCAGGGCCCAGGGGCACCACAGTCCTTTCAGGAGCACTACAGGCCTGTCGGCTGTCAGGGGCACCAGAATCCTAGCAGGGGCACCACAGACCTTGCCAGGGGCACCGCAAGCTTGCCAGGGGCACCCACTGGCCTCGCAGGGGCACCCTGGGACTGTCAGGGGCATCACGTGCCTGTCGGGGACACTTCAGGCTTGTCAGGAGCACCACAGTCCTGTCAGGGCCCAGGGGCACCAGCGGCCTAGCAGGGGCACCACGGCCTCGCAGGGGCACCACCGGCCTCGCAGAGGCACCATGGGCCTGTCACTGGCACTTCAGGCTCGTAAGAAGCACCACAGTCCTTCCAGGGGCACCACAAACCTGCCAGGGACACCTGCGGCCTAGCAGGGGCACCACAGGCCCGCCAGGGGCACCACAGGCCTGCCAGGGCAAAAAAATGAAAATAGGGCACCACCAAAATTAAGTGGCCGAAATCTGTTGAGGTTTTAATTTTGGGTGTAGGTAGGGGTACTTCGATTTATGACCCTCCCCTTGGAGTTTTCCTGGATCCGCTCCTGGTGCCAACGCGGCTGCGGAGGCCAGGGGGGCGCGTCCATGAGATTTAATATCTGGACGGGAGTCTCCCTGAGATTTTGGTCGATTTTTTTTCTTGTCACTTTTTTACCGATTTGAGCATGCTTGCGAAAATAAAGTGGCCGAAATCCGAGGAGAAAATGGATTTTGGGGGTAGGTGAGGTTTTGTGCCTCTGGGAGCCTGGCCCCCCCCCCCCACTTTCGAAAACGTTCCTACACCTATGTAAGCCCTAGCCGAAAGGGGAGGACACAAACTTTTGGCATTTCACTCCTAGTTAGCCTGCGCGCCGCTGCAGCGGGGCGAGGACATTGCGCCGATGCATCAGCGCAATGTTTTGCTCCTACACCTGAACCTTCCGGTTCAAAGCCCGAAGTCCTGGACCAGGCCCACTGCCAGTCTCCCGCTGCTGAGGCCGTCAGTGCTCTTGATTGCCACACACAGCCTCCGAAGCAGCCCTACTGGGCTATAAAGGAGCCCTAAGCTAGTTTCCGAGTTCCCCTAACGGACCCTCGCCACCATCTGAACGTCTCATATCGACCGTTGAGGACAACTCCCGCCTCCCAATTACTGATTCTCGGCAAACGCAGATGGCCATTTTGCAGGCCTTCAATGATCTTTCCCGACCGCAAAGACTCCATTCCAGCCTATGAAGGTCCTATCAGTGTCCAGGGGCCAATGCCAGTCAATGAGGGCCCATGTCGACCTTTGGTACCCCCCCCCCCGCTACCTAGTTCTTTGGGTTCTTTGAAGGTTCACATGATTTTTTAGGGTGCCTATGAAGGTTTCAGCGACCCCAACCGTGACAATGACATGGATTCGCATTGAACGATGGGCGCCAACTCAGATGCTAAATGTCAGCGCAATCCCTCAAGTAATTGCCGAGTTATTGTAATGGGAACAAATTTGACACCTCTTCATTTTGCATTTAGCACCTGCAGTAGAGGTCACCCATATGCATCGAGAGTAGTCCGGATGCTTGGTAAAAGAGATGCAACTACTCAGGCCCATGTCACTGCACTTTTGATGACATGCTAAGGGGGCCTCGCCCTCAGGACGATAATGGCGCGGTGCGCCACAATCGCTTCCAAGCTACTTGCCAACAGCTGCCATTTTTGAAAATACTATTTTGAAATAAAGTTACATTTTTTTTTTTGTAATGAAGTTGTTAATTAAATCGATACCTTATCTAAAACCTCACTGAAAAATGATTTCTTCATAGTAAAAATATACGCTGGATGCGTTTTTACGCTCTTTTCCTGCTACTGCAGAGGGTTTTTAAATCGTATATTTCTTCAAAACCGGCCATTTCTTAGCATATTGCTCATTTCTTTTCGATAGAAAATTAATTGGGCTTTCCATTGACATCAACGGGTGAGCGGTATGTGTAGAGTGCCATCTGAACTCTTGAGAGCAATTGCCGTAATCAATGTTTTGCGTCGAAATCGTCCGAACATGACGTCACTCTGACGTCATTTCCGGACGACCTATGGCAGCTACGAAGTTCATATTTTGACACAAGGTGTCAAATTGATGCAGCCAAAGGTACCAAATAGTAAAAAAATTAACCTCACTCTCATTCTTCTTAAAAGTAAAATCCAGATTCGAAATAAAACAACTAAAAAAAAACTTTTAAAAAACGGATTCGAAACGCTTTTATTTCGAATCCGGAATTTATCATACTATTAATATTTTAATAGTACTGTAACATTAACTGCTTGAATCAATGTAGAGCTGACTCCACGTACAGTCCACAGCAGAAGTAATGTGGGGTTTCAGTCATGGGTATGTTCTGCTTCTGAAGCTTAGGAACGATTAGCCACACTACAATGAAACTTTGAATGTAGCTTATATGTATCGTCACCCTTGCAGCTGCAACTTCAGCTATTGACATCTTCTTTTCGATCACTCCGCATTAAACAATCGCTAGTCAAAGCCAACCGTTGAGATTGGTAAAACCCTACATTACTTTAGCGGTGGGCTGTACTTCCAGATTGTATTAGATGTCATCGCAGGGCAATCTTGTCGGATGTCTGAGAGGGATGCCCAAGGGATGCCTGGCGCAGTTCCTTCTCGAGCTTCTTTCGAGTGAATAAAAGCACTTTTAGTTATTAACCCTCGCCAGCCGAGGGGGGGGGGGGGGGCATAGGATTTTTCACGATAGCTCCGAACACGCTGGCGATAGAGAGATGAAACTTGGCATACCTGACCTTTGATTCAAGCCAGATCTTTTGAGATCAGCCGCATTTTCGGGTCAGGTCAGGCCACTAACCTATGACGTCATAAGTGAACCTCTGCACGGTCTTCAGATGTCGCAACTTCGCAACGCCCTCACTGCCAGAGGAGATGTCACAGGGAAATGAAACTTGCAGGATCTAATATCCATTACTAGTCTCACAACTTGTATATCTCGGATTTTTCCTAAAGGTCATATGAGGTCAGGTCGTTTTTGTGACCTCACCATTATAAGTCAATGGGGAAAAATGAAAACTGCTATTCTGGCGCCGGGAACGATCTCCAACTATCCCAAGCACACAGAATCGTGATTTGGTGCACACCTTGCAAGGTTAGATGCGTCACTTTTGCAATGTTGACCTTGCGTGACGTCATTTATGACGTCATTAGGGCCATATTGGTTTTTCGTCAATAACTCCCGATCAAATTGAGCTAGCGAGTCGGGAAAGCCACCAATGGACTCAAGAAAACCTGCCGAATCGAATGATATGCCAAATGACCTACTTTGACCGATTTCGTGACCTGGGGGTGCTGACCTGACCGTGACCTGAGGTCAACACCCGAAGTTGACCTCACCCAAATAAAAAGTATATCATTCGACGCGCCTGAGCAAGGCAAACACGATGCTGCCAAAATCGCGGCTCTGCGGCCGTTTTTTTGCGAAGTTATTCTCCAAAAACGGAACCGTACCTTGGGGCACTTGACCTGATCTCAGAGGTCACCGGTTGACTTAGGACCTTAAAATCGGGTACCAATCTGTGCGTCTCGTAACGGCACACACGCTCGTTTTTTTCCGCAACGCGCTAGCTCCACCAGGGGCGAAACAGCGAGGGGGGGGGGGGGTCGTACCCCGGTACCCGCCCCCCCCCCCTCGGCCGGCGCGTATGTAGAAAACCAATAGGTCCGGCGAGGGTTAATTCATTACAGCCAATACAAGCTATTGAAAATAAATATCACACACTTGTCACACACGCATAAAAAGCGCCTCCCGCATTCTACGTTTACAAATACAGACGTATAGTAATAAAACAAGTGATGAAACACACAAGCATCATTGCATAATGTCATCCTTACAGCCACAAGCGACGATCAAGTGTTATTTACACTTTTCTTCAAGCACTTCAAAATCATTTCTGAAGCGAGTTTTCAAAAAAGCCTCTGTCAAGCTCTTGAGGGTGTTACGCATCGTGGCTAGCGTCAACAGCAGCGAAACAAAGGCTGACAGGGCGAGAACAGCAGATAACGCCAGAAGAGCCGCTGGATAGAAGAATTCGAGTCCAACAGGCGAGCTTATCAGCAACTCTGGAAACAAAACGATTGAGTCAAGGTAGGTCGACATGCATCATTGTTTTTCTGTTAGCTTTTCATGCAAAAGGTGGTCAATTGATTGTTCTGTTACCGTATTTTTATGTTATATATGCGTCGGAACTCAAACATATACGTTCAAGTCATACAATTTACTTATCTTAAGTATTACTGCGGTAATAATGTGTGTGACATTACAATGCCGTTCATAGCACTGACAGTTTTATATGGGTAGGTATATACCTACCTAACTGCAGTTGCACAATGCTATAAAGAGGGCGCAGCAGTTACGGGAGCTCTATATGCATACGTTCCCGCAGTGGGTGTCCCACCACCCAGAACTGTACCTACCTTCCCCCACGGCGTGTCCCACCACCCAGAACTGTACCTACCTTCCCCCACGGCGTGTCCCACCACCCAGAACTGTACCTACCTTCCCCCACGGCGCGTCCCACCACCCGGAAATGGGACTGGCGGCTGCTACTCAGCGCTGCTGGCTCCGAATCTGTGCTGCGCCTCACTCGTGAAGAGGTGCCGGGCCCACAGACCGGCTGCGAATGGATACAGTTAGTGGCACGGACAATAGTCGCGTTTACATAGCATTTTTGACGAGGCTCTAGGTCATTTATTTTGCGATAATTTCGATGCAGTGATCTTTGCATATTTAGAGGGGATAATTTTGTCAATTGTAACGCACCATTGCCATTTTTTGCAACATAATGGGCGGAGCTATAAGCTTGCAACAATCCCTATGTAAACGGGGCTAATGTTAGGGGCATCACCAGTCACCTGCATTAGGGAACGTTGGCTGATCCGTATTCCGTACTTAATAATGGAAAATGATTAGGTACGAGAAGCTTTAAAATAAAAACCGAATAATCTCAGCGTTATAGTTCGCTTAAGACCAATGCATCATAAAAACATTCATTCTTTCATCACTACGTGAAAACTATTTTTTTGCATGCGCTAATTCAGAAAAGAAAGCAAAGCAACCCAATTTCTAAGCAACAATCAAGTGTGAGCCGTGCATTGGAAAGCTAGACGTCTATTTTGAGGCAAAAAAAGCCACAAAAACTGCGATATCTCACTGGTCTACAGTCGGGCTCGTAGTATCTGCAGGCGGCAATCCGGACTGTGACCCTGATCAGGTCATCCGAGGTCACTCCCTGGAAGGAGAATGCCCGGAACGAGAACCGGACCACCAGAGGATCATTCTCAAACCACGAAGGGTTCTCAGGTGCCAGTAGCTGGAAAAGATTAGGGGCAGGTAATGCATCTTGTGTGTTCTTGCTGCTGATCTGCAAGGCACATGAATAAGTGAGGAATAACTTTCAGCAAATTCTCCAACGAAGGTTACGGGTATGTAGCATGCACCATGCAGAAGGATGAAACGTTTTTTCCTACACGAAAAATATGTTATAATTGTCTGCATAATTTTCCCCTTGCTAGTGAATACATTGACCTCTGAATGAACAGCACCAGGCAATATGTTTAGTGCAGGCCCATGGCATGGCAAGTCAAACAACTTTCAACGCTATCGACCGTGTTTGCATCGATGTGGGCGGCAGCTCCACGGTACCTTGTACTCTCGGTTGGCACATCCATCACTGAGCACCAGCGGTACAATGTCGTTAGGTTGTACCTCGCCATCGGCCGGTACACGTTCCAGTACCAGTCCCGTCAGACGACTGTACCGCCAGCCTGCCGAAAACGCAGTCAGGGCCGCTGTAAGACTCGATAATATCGAGCATGGAGAGAGGCGCAAAAATCACAAAGAGGTTGTTGTGTCTCTGGCAAAGTGAGATCGAAGCTTACTGATTACCAACCTGCCCTTCCTCTCGCCCCAAAGTCTGAAGTTTCTACGTTATGTAGATTCAGAGTATCTATAGGATCGGGGATAAGAGATTCGCTCCGCTCACCGTCTCCGTCTCGGACGGTCGTTCTCAGTTCCATCTCGTCTCCCAGGTGCACGCTGTCGTAGCCGGTGTGGACCGGTGTGAACCGGAACTGGCCCCGACCGCGGTGCAGTAGCTGAACGTCAAATTCGGGGAGGCCGGACTCGGAGGCCTCCGTCGCCCCAGAGTAGGACGCTATTGGTAAGCGGTCCAGCCTGGCATGGGAGCACGAGAGAGAGAGAGAGAGAGAGAGAGAGAGAGAGAGAGAGAGAGAGAGAGAGAGAGAGAGAGAGAGAGAGAGAGAGAGAGAGAGAGAGAGAGAGAGAGAGAGAGAGAGAGAGAGAGAGAGAGAGAGAGAGAGAGAGAGAGAGAGAGAGAGAGAGACAGAGAGAGAGAGAGAGAGAGAGAGAGAGAGAGAGAGAGACAGAGACAGAGACAGACAGAGAGAGACAGAGAGAGACAGAGAGAGACAGAGACAGAGACAGAGACAGAGACAGAGACAGAGACAGAGACAGAGACAGAGACAGAGACAGAGACAGAGACAGAGACAGAGACAGAGACAGAGACAGAGACAGAGACAGAGACAGAGAGAGAGAGAGAGAGAGAGAGAGAGAGAGAGAGAGAGAGAGAGAGAGAGAAAAAAAAGAGCGCATCATCAGTATCTAGCCAACTCGCGAGCTGGAGCAATTCTATTTAGATTGCAAATGATTACGCATAACAATTTACTGGGTACGCAGCATTTGCAGTATTTAGCTGGACCCAGGCAGTCAAATTTTGCCGGGGCCTTACACCTGCGACAAACATGTCTGCTCTACGGCAACAAGTTCCACGCAGTCGGCAGTGTGTGTACAATACATACATCGTCCGGGCCCTTGCAGCCACCGCCAATTTTGAGTAAATTTATATGCTAAACGTTTACATCCGAATCCGATCTAGTGCCTACTAGCTCGCTCTCAGCCGTTCATCTAGTTTTCTCTCAACGTCAGACGCTGCCGGTATACCTCGGCGCCTGCAGGGTGAGCTGCTTCTCGAGGGCGTGTCTGCGCTCTTTGGGCAGACAGCGGAGCCGGACCACGCTATCCTCCAGAAGACGCAGACCGGCCAGTCTCGGGAACCGCACAGTGACGCAGAGCCAGCGCTGCGAGCAGCAGAACAGTCGGGTAAATCCATTGTCAGGTGCGGTCAGAATAGAAAATACACCAACTTCGTTTATCCTACTTCACACGATCTTCGCTGTTCATTATAAAAGCCGGCTTCATTTATTAAAAATCTCTCATTCAGCTATGAGCCACTCCATACCCACCTCTCCTTTTATCGCCTTTCCCTCGCCTCTCTTTCACCTCTCCCTTACGTCTTTCTCGCCTCTTCGTTGCTTCTCCCTTTCCTCTCCCTCCACCTATCACATCTCTCCTTCGCCTGTCCTTACACTCACTCACTCACCCTCCACCTTTTCACTCTCTCAAATCTCCTTTCATACACCCTCACTCCTCACTCATTGCCTCTCCCCTCACACTCTCTCTCCCTCCTCACCTCTCCCTTCACACACTCCTCCACTCCGCAGGCCCCAAACTCCCTGACGGTCAGCCTCAGCGACGGCCAGTCTCCCACGGCTGATTTCAGCGAGCACCGCGCTGATGTCAGCAGGTTAATGTCGGGCCGCTGGTCGATCAGCGGCGGCGCGATCGGTGCTCCGTCCATCAGCAGGGTGGCGGTCAGCAGCTCCTCGCTCGCTGACTGGATGCAGCTGATGTCTGACGGACGACGGAGCACCAGGGAGAGCACGTCAGAATGGGACTAAGTCCACAGGATTACACTGGGGATGTGGGTAGTGGGTGCCACCAGGGAGAGCACGTCAGAATGGGACTCAAGTCCACAGGAATGGGACTCACCCACTACCCACTGGGGTCCGGGATGTGGGTAGTGGGTGCCTGTAAGACATAGGCAGCAGGCACTCTATGTCATTGTGAGAGATGATATTTCCAGCATCAAGTGTTCTGTGTAATACAAATGCGTTTATGCCCCTATGGCAGAGGTGAATGTCTCTTCGTGCCGAGTTCTGTCTCCAATTCGGACTCAGCTATTAAGCGGTTCACATGAGCTGATAAAGTCAGCTGGAAGACAGCCCAGCATGTGTGACATATGAAAAGCTGTAACTTGAGCTAACCATCGCCCAGTGGCCTGCGCTATAGCTGGCGTAGATGCTGGGTCATACCTGCAGCCCGCACGCTGTGTGCCGCCGGTGCCGGGAGTGTAGAGCCTGGTCCCGGCGGCGCAGGTGGCGCTATGGTCGGTGGTGCAGGTGGCGCTGCCGTCGGCGGAGCTGGCGGTGCCGGACGCGCCACAGGAGGGCTCGGCGGGCTGGGCGGGGCCGGAGGGAGACGTCGGGCAGTCGGGGGAACGCGGCGCTGGCCCACCCTGCAGCTACATTCGTAAGGGTGAGGTCGGCAGGTGCACGGGTACGCCCCCTGAGCCGCTCTTCTATTCCGTCTCGTCTCAAACTCCGGCGGAAGCAGCGCCCGAGCGGCGCCAGTCGCCGAAAGGGTGGCTCCCGGCGGCGGCGCTGGTGGGCCCAGCACCGGACCGGGGGGCGGCGCTGGTGGGCCCAGCACCAGACCGGGAGGCGGCGCTGGTGGTCGGATGGGGAGGGTCTCTATGGGGGGAGCGGGCGGCCGGACCGGGACAGCGCTGGGAGCTGTCGGTGCAGGTACACCTCCTGGAGGGGCTGGAAACACCGCCCGCTGCCGCCGCCAGCCCTGCGGTAAAACGGCGGAGTAGCGCGTCAAAAACTGAGGTCCAGTAACCTTGGCAACATTGAGAAAGAAATTGATTACAGAGTTTTTGTAAGTTGTTACTCTACCGATCGATATTCATCTCAAGGGAGAGGTTTATCTATGCATAAATAATGTATAAAGTTAACCCGCGCGGGGCTGGGGTCTCCTCTCCAGCCGAACGCGCGGGGCTGGGGGGGTAAAATTTACCCCCCTGTTATCTCCCGAACTAATGGTCCGATTTGGAAAATTCAAACGCCAATCGAAAGATCTCATCACGAACAACTACAAATATGTCCTTAATTTTAAGTTTGAGGTCAAGGTCAAGGTCAGGTCAAGGGTACAAATTGCAAGTTCCTACAGCATCGGCCTTGCACCGACTTTGCCGAAGAATGGAGTCATGGACTGAGACTGATCGCCCAAAACGTGTTCTTAGGCTACCAAGACAATATTCGTTGCATACAATATCATTCAGAGGTCAAGGTCAAGGTCAGGTCAGGTCAGGTCAGGTCACCAAAAACAAAATATAGAAAAGGGCATGTGCGACACATGTTTTATGGGTCATTTTACTCATAGAATTCAATAGGCACACTCAATAAGTGATATGGACCACCTCTGGATGAATTTCAGATCGAGGTCAGGTCAAGGTCAGGTCAAGTGAGGTCAAACTTTTAAGTTGGTTGTTAAGGCCTAAAAAGGTGTCTATCTGATGCAGTTTTTCACGGCGAATCGAATGGTGCTATTTTTGTTTCCGTACGAGGTCTAGAACTTCCAAAAAAGTCATTTTTCATTTTTTTGTGTGTCGTGACGTCATAAAATTTTGAATAACTCCCACATTTTTGAACCGATTCTTCTAAAACTTGGTATGTAGGTGCACATAGACCACTCTTCTGACATATATTCCGGTTTTTTTGATACACTCAAAATTTTGGATTTTATAATTATTTTCCCAAAAAAGTCAGTTTTTTGAAGAAAAAAATTGGGCAAAAATCCAAAATTTCTAAAAAAAACGGAGATAGCCATTTGATAGACAAAGTAAAATTACGTATATCCTTTTTTTGTTACGTCTTGATTCCTTTAAAAATGAAGATGTTAGCGGCGTTTGAACTTTTGCCGTTTTTGAGGCGAAAATGGCGAACATGACGTCACTAAAACGTCAATTTCTCAACAATTTTCCGAAGGATTTCGCTCAAATTCTCAGGGAACGTGTCAAATTGATGTAAGAAAAGGTACTGAGAGTTTGGCGGCGCTGCGCGCCGCCGTTTTTGAGATATTGCAAAAATTCGCGAGGGGGGGGGGGGTAAAATTTACCCCCCCCCCCAGCCCCGCGCGGGTTAAACAACGTTTACGTAAATATTAGCCGTTTTCACGACGGCCATCTGGTACACATTTGGTGCACATTTGATGCGGATTAGGTGCAGATTTGGTCAAATTAGGTTCAGTGTATCGCTTAGAAGATATCAGCTGGGGTTGCACTAATTGCTTATATGCCTCCTTTATCATATTATCAGAGAGTATCATCAATAAAAACACTGAAATAAATTCATAAAATGAAGATGTTTGCTGTATGTAAAAGAGATTAGATGCAGATTTGGTCAAATTAGGTGCATTCGCCGGCTAGCACGTCGTGAAAACGGCTATTATATCATACCGTTTCCGTCATATGTTTATTTTGTGCAGCACTCATTACCACTCATTAGTGCATTGCTCACCTGTCCATATTTCGTTGACGGCGACTGGGAAGGCTGCCATGTTGGCGATCCGATGACGTAAGCATCCGGAAAATAAGTCACCCACTGCAGACACTAAAAAATCAGCATGCCATCAGTCGCGAAATATGTGATGCCTAAATTGGAAGCTTAAATGGTGCAAAAAAGCGAGCAACTCTCTATGATTGCCTGATGCCTTTATGAATAACAAAATGATAGATATATCTCAACTATACTAACCAAATAGACGATTTCAAATATCTAACGAACGTAGAACGGTAAAACATAACTTAGCGTATGAAAAGGTTTTCTTTGGAACGTCACCAATGGTACAATAGCGATTTGTAAAAATCGCAAAAAAATTGAAAAAAGCACCTTGGCGGCAACTAGCAGGACGCAGCACATTTATCGTATGTGCATACCATGGACATTGATCAACTCTGGCGTAATGCTCTCACTCAATGGTCTCAAACTTCAAAGGTCGCTGACCTCTGCCATAGCTGCGACAACGGAACTGCCGGGCGCGATAGTGGCTCCCTTCCTGTGTTCCAAGTCCGCCCTCGCAGTTCCCCGGTATACGGCGGCGGGCCGGGAGTCGGAGGTGTATACGCCAAACAATGACTTCCGGTGGGAGTCCAACACTCGCGACACGACCGAATGGTATCAGATCGGCATCCGCAGCTCATTATCATCGAACACGTGGTGGATAATACTGATCACAGTGGCGGATAACACCGACCACTGTGGTGGATCACAGCGACCAAACGGCGGATAGTGGATGCCCAGAGCACAATGGCATCACGGGATGATACCATGCCAGGGATCACTCAAAGGTTATCGCCGTTTACCATGATAAATTCCTATTGATTTCCATGAGCAGTGAGCAGGATGCCCTCAATGGGTGTTCGCTGCTCCCCCACCAGCATACATCTCTGTCTGTCTACAGCACATGCTGTGAACACGTCTGCATGCAAAGACTTCATCAACAAGCAACTATTTATGCATTCAGTGTCATCGCTCTGCCAGCGATAATCCCCCAAAGGCGAACAATGTCGTCTGGAAACAACGCCAGCCGTCTGAGATCGGTCGGAACTGGTTCATATTCAACACACGCCGTGGCGCCGGCCCACACTGAGAGCTCCCTCTGCGCAGGAGCAGGCGGGGCGGATGTAGCACCCGGGAAGTCATGCCCGGTCACAGGGGTGCGTGCTTGTTTAGTGACGTAGCCAGACGGGGTAGATGGGGCCAGCCAGCGCAGTGGGGCCGCAGTGAGACGTTGTATTCCAAACGCACATTTACATAGGATGACGGTCAGCTACGCGTCTTATAAGGGAGCGCGCATATGCTTCTGATTCGTATTTATTGGAGCGAAGGTAGTCAACGAGCTCGCTCTGTGACGATTCACTGTAGGCTGTTTTGATAGAGGCTCCAAAAGATATCGGAAAATGTTTAATAATTGTCAAATGACGATATTCGCGAAGTGTATGCCCGTAGTTTATCAATCTCGCTTTACACTTTCGGCACCTTTCCATGATTCATTTGAACCACTTAGCTCTAACGCACCATGGAAACCCTAAACAGTGCAAATGGATTTGCATTAACTTTAATATAATTTTCTAGCAATGTGATTCAATGTGTATTGTCTGTGACTCTTCATTAAATTTACTTGGGAAGGCTGCACTGCTTCAATGCACTCATTGAATATGATGTTTGCTTTTCATTCAAAGGAGGAGGCTTAGCCAATTCCGCTGAGAATACGGTATACCGTATTCTCAGCGGAATTGGGCTAAGCCTCCTCCTTTGAGGAGGAACCTCCTCCTCCGAGCTATATCTCGGTATAGCGTGACCCATGACCCATGTGAACAGCATCACAATGAACTCACCAGGTACAGTAGAATCTGCGACAGCATCATTGGAGCCAAACGAGGGACGGCCACCGTTCGCGCTCTCGCCTTTTATGACACCACTTCCCAGGGCAGCACTGTAGCCGGTGGTAGCACCGGTCCGCTCTCCTCGGCAACCTCCTGTAAAGTCGCGGCTCTGACGACCTTTTGCTGCCGTCATCAAGTGCTGATGAGCCATTGCCGGCACTGCACTCCGATTGGCTGCCGGTCTCAGCAGTCTGACCAATCACCGCTGAGAGTGATCGGTTGTTGAACTCAAACTCCAGAGGCTTAGCTGTCCATCTCATTCTCCATAGTACTGGATACAATAGTGTTCAGATCTCAGAAGCTGCTGCGGGATGCAAAGGAGGCATTGAAATGAACCAATCAGATAGCACATCTCATGTTAATAACTGACATGCTGTGAATAACTGCTAAATGAACTGAGAGCTAAACCCAGGTAAGTGTAAAATCTCGCACAGGTGATCCATGAAAACTGTCGTCTTTTCAAGTAGGTATCAATTCAAATTGTATTCGAACGCTCAGAAGAAATCCAGTTTTGTGCTGAAAAAATCACCAAACATGGCCGCAGTGCACCGATTTAAGCACGTAGAACGATATACGTTTTGGTTGGGTGAGATAAACATAGGGTAGTGGCTTCAGGTCAATGTCAATTTAAACTTCAGTCACTCAAATTTTCTAGGTCATGAAGTTGACCCGAGGAAGTTAGGGTAGTGTGGGGTAATTTGAACATATTTTTACGTCTGCTCCGTTGCAACAAATTCCAGCTCAACCCTAGATGAAGAAAAACTGTTTCAGTAGCGCATGTGTCACTTGCTTTTACCATGCAAGCCTCATTTCTGGACGAACCGAGCATACCTTGAATAGCATAGCATCACTTCTCCACCAAGTCACAGTGTGTTCAAATTGCCCCACCGTGGGGTAATTTGAACATACTGCCTTTACCTGCCATAAAAACGATAGTATCGCCAGCACCGATGTTGTTTGACCCATAAACGAATAGACAGAGCAATTCTAAACATACCTTCATTTGAAAAATCAACGCAACAACAAAAATAACAGTTGCAGAGTATCAATATCTGCACGCTGCACACCGGTCAGTTGACAGAATTCGCCTCTCTTCAATTAACAGAACGTCTATCATCTCCGTTCGATAAAAACTCTACCAAACCTTACTTCATCTGTTATAGTGGTGCCAATCGGAACCTGGACATTCGGAATTCCGATTCGTCATAATGTCCAATTCGGAATTGATTGCACAAAGGTATAGTAGCCTGGACAACATTGGGCGATGGCCTGCCACACTTAAGCATTTTTATCAAGTAATCGTGCGTAGCATTGATTGGCGAATGGAAAGCTTGTTAAGCACTCAATATAATGAACACTTTTCGGCTGGTAAAATTACATGATAAGCAATATAAATGACGGTTTTGAGTGTTGATAGCTGCATAATTTTCGGACATATTTGGACAAATAGTTGAGTTTAACATTTTTGGACGGAAAATCAACGAAAATGCCGGACATTAGACGGATATTAGATGTACATTTTCTAAAACTGGCATCACTTATCTGCTACTGCTTTGGGTCGAAAATATTGGCAAAAAAAAAAAAAGACTGGGAGCGTTGTTTCTTCGGAGCTATCCCTGTCTTCATTGAAGTCCCCACACTATGTTCAAATTACCCCACGCTAAAAGTTATTTTGCCACTTTTAAAAACAGGTTTCAAAAGCAAATTTCGTGGATTGAAGGCACTGATTAGGTCATTGTACAACAAAAGCCGTTGCGTATTAGGCGCTAGCAATGCAGGATTTTGCGCTGCAATGAAGTTGCAATGACGTGTTGTATAGGCGTTTATCCTTGCGAAATTGATTTTTTACACTGTGCGTCAACATCTTCATTCCCTGAATCTTTAAACCCCGTTCATATGATAGCCCTTTTAGTTATGATAATTTCTCTCATTGGTCTTATTGTCATGCCACTTATGGATTTTCCGTAATTTTGTGTTATTCACACTATGTTCAAATTGCCCCACATGTTCAAATTACCCCACCCTACCCTATGCTGCATATCATTCCATTCAAAAGGTCTTTCTGAGCATATCGGTAGCTTCGCGACTCGTTATCTCGATCTGAATTTTCATCTGAATTATAATTGATGAAAATCTCTGGTGACTTTATTGACGTCATATATGGAATAATGGACGTCATATATTGCGTCACGCAAAGTCAACAATGCTAAATTTAAGCATTGGACCTTTCAAAAGTAGCGTATGTATTATAGAGTGTATCGATAACCGAAATTTGCAAGGAAACTGGCATATTATTTGGCGCAAGGACATAAAAATAATATCTGGGCGCAACATTTTCCTCAAAACTCAAAATTGACTGACCCGGAACGGTTTTTGTAAACCCCATTCCAACTGCTGCGGACGTAGGATGAAGCTTTAGTTCTCCCCTTTTGACGCTAGATGGCAGTGATTCCAGACTGTCTCTAACTTAATTTCAGACATCTGTAAACGTAAAAAAAGCCATTCGGATTAAATTATGCACATTTTTTACATCATTGGTGTTGGTATATTGCTGTTTTTTCCATTGCAAGTGTTTTCCATTGCAAACGCATAGCTTTCCACACATTATCACACATAACACAATACACATTACCTATGCATTAGCGCCCTGAGCTCTTAAATACGAACAAGTAAATAGCAGATTAGGCAACTATTAGCAACTGAGCTCCTGCCGCATCGTACTTTAAGGACTACATATAGCCGGTACAATTGTGTTACCAGCGACCAAATGTCAAAGTGGACACTGGTCAGGTGCTCGGTAACTGGTGACTGGTGAGCCAGTTTGCTTTCTGTCCTATATTACGGCTAATTCACCATCATCCTTGCTTGCACTTCTCCGTGTTCCGGATTAACGGTCCGCCTAGCAGACAACCGATGGAAGTCAGCTTCGGCCTTCGGAGTGACCATTTCAACAAATGTATGCTCTAGTCTGTCCCGTTGTGACTTGCCGTCAAAACAGTATGTCCCGGCGCTGAAATGCCGTCCCAGCGGTACAGCGGACTAGTCGTCAGTGGTTGATTGAACCGATTGAGCCTTGGTTGATTGAACCTTACATTGCCCTCTCCCTCTCGTGTTTTATCATCCCAGCATAGCCTGACTCAGAGCATTGCAGCCATTATGGTGTCTTTTGACTGAGACGCTGCGGCACACAGCCGGTGCCCGATGGTCGACTTTATTCTGATATTGCCCTCTCCCCGCTAATTCATTTATTCATCATACCACGGCCCTAAAATGTTCTCGAATAGACTAACCCATAGGCTCTAACCAAGCATAACGAACAAACCCACTTAGCAGTCTCCGAACGTCTGCTGTTAAAATTAGTAGCCAGTAGGTGAAACCGAAACCGACGAGTGGCCACGTCAAGCGGTCCCTCAGTGCCCCAAAGGTGGTCACTTTCGGGGTAGAACTTGTCACAACTCAGCCTATCCTACCGGACTGCCGTGGGCTCCTCTCTTACCGCGCGGCGAAGACGGTGAATATCGTGCGCTGGTAGTATTACATACAGCTCGCATCCCAAATAAATAGTTACTGCCGGCGAAGGCCCAACCATTCACCGTACTATGGTGCAGGTCCGGTGACTTTCCCGCCGCCCGTGTCACCGCGACCAACGGCGGCGACAGTGCCGTCACCGGTCCCCTCGAGACCCGGCGATGCCGTCTGTATTTGTTTGTTTGTTTTGTTGGGATAGGCTCTTTCGGTCCGACAAGACCATTTCAGAGCCGGAAGGATGATAGGAATTAGGGGGTGACATTGGTCTGGGCAGGCACCCTAGTGAGTCGCCGGGGCTGAGCCCGTCCAGAGGACAGGCCACCCATCCCCAAAGTACTCACTGCACCCGGCTACGGGGTGCGCTCCCTCGGGAGCCGCGGTGCCGCTCCAAGGAGCAGCCCGCATGAGATAAAGTTGCCTGTCCAGCCCGGAGGGGGTTTCGGCGTGCAGAAGGATTTCAGTATCCTGAGGATGGAAGCACGGAACGGGTGCCGTCTGTACCGGAACAGCGCACTATCTGTACCCGAACAGGTGCGTCTATGTAGGTGGAATAGGCATACTACCAAACTGAACTGCCGCATGCGAGAGACGGCTATAGTCAACCAGGACTCGTGAGTCTGCGGTGTTTTAATACAGGATCACATGCAAGAGCCCGGTCACCGGCACAGATTGACTGTCAACCAGTCCGTGATATGACCCCTGCTGTAGCTAGCTCACGTTCGGGCCCTGCTCGGCGCACTTGCCGAGGCCAATGACGAGACCGACTTTTACGTCGGTCCTTCTCCGCCGCGCCAACCGAGTTAATAAAATACCTTTCACCATTGCTTTCATACATAATCCAGAATCCTATTATTTGACTCATGTGCCGTACACACTTTGCCTCTGTTGCCGCTCAGCCGTTTCAAGCGTCACAGGCACTAAATGAAGAGCTCTTTGCTAACTGACGGTGAACTGGGCTGGTGCGCGATAGGCACTGGTGTACGCAATGCACTTTAGTTTTTAGGGTATTTCTATTACTTTGCTCAAAAGCAATGGCCATTTGTGACCCAGACAAACATACAGTGATCATAGAACAGGAGACATGAGAACAGCACGAAAACATAGCGTAGGAGAAAAGTGCATAGATGCGGTTTGATACTGTTAATGATAATGATACAGATATGGGCATTCAAAGTCCATGCAAGCCTTCCAACGCATGTAACGCTCTCCTATACACACCAAGGTATAAGATAGGTTTCGATCTGCCCCAGACAGAACAGGGCCTAGGCCGAGAGCCGAGAGCAAAACTAGGGCAAAATAGGCATATGTGTAGCTAAAACTCCACACTCCCTGTGTGTTTTGTTATTTTATGCTATGAAGTATGTCAAAGGAACCTCTAACTGTCATTTGAAGTTGTTAAACTAGACGTCTGAAACAAATTATTATGGGCAATTAAGGAAAACAAACGCTATTGAGTGAGTAAGATCAGCATCAGGCACCACAAACTGTGTTAAAACGTCATGCCGACGCTAGCGCCACCTACAATTCTAGATGTCGCTAGTAGGTTATCCCATAGGAGCCCGTGTTACGGCGAGATGGTCTCAAAGAAGTGGGCGCGGACCAGAGAATACTGACCGCAGGACACCGATTTTGTGTTTTTCTTACTTACAAATATATAGCGCCACTTTATCTGACAGTTTCCTCTCAATCTGGAATAAAAACCCTCAAATCGATACACTCTAATGTATTATGTAATCAATATTTAAGGTGCTTTCGATACCCTTAGTTTTCATTTTTGGTGTGTGAATCTTAAGCTCAACAAGTCCAGGACGTTCTGAACCACTTCGAATCAAAACATCTGGGGTGTACCCTTACCACCCGCTTCTCCCTGCCGGCCAAGGAGATTTGAGGGTCCAAACTCCAAACTTGATCTTTCATGAATGGCTGGAATAAAATGATCTAATGGGGATGTTCGCGCTAAGAGTTCCGAAAAGTTTCACCAGGTGGCAGCACGGTATGCTTTGGACACAACGCGCCGGCCGGGCGCCGGCCGGGGCAGGGATAACACTGCGGACGGCGACAGCGGCCGACGCGCCGCGAACGGAAACTGCGTTTCATGTCTTTTTCAGGTTCATCCTTTTGCTAAAATGAGTAACTACAGTTGATTTTCGATATTAGGAAGACAATGACGCGTGTGAAAGGCAAACTACTACATCGTCATTAAGCGGAAGGAAAGGGAGCTGATCGAATGGTCACCAAAAGCTACGGAGTACGAAAGATACGATGTTATCACATATTTTAACTTACACAGTTGAAATTAAAACCCTTATTACATTCAGACATATATTCACACGCATGAAACAATCGATTTACAGCACATATTCCATGACAAGAACGCATACCTACGGTCTTAACCCGCGCCCCACTGGGGGGGGGGGCTATTTATAGCCCCCCCTCCCGTTTTTCTGCAATAACTTCCAAACCACTTGACGTATCGACGCCAAACTTTCAGTACCTTCGGCTGCATCAATTTGACACCTTGTGTCAAAATTTGAACTTCGTACCTACCATAGGTCGGCCGGAAATGACGTCAGAGTGACGTCATGTTCGGCCGATTTCGACGCAAAACATTGAACCACGGCAATCGCTCCCAAGAGCTCAGTTTTTAAGCTAGATCCAATTTCTTTGCATGAGAGGACTCAGAATAGACTGCGCTATCAAACTGCTATCTCGGATTTTCGAAATTTTGAAAATTTCGAAAATTTTATATAATAAAATTCAAAATTTATATTTTTACATTTTTTTTCAAAAAGTTTTTGACTTTTCGAAAAAAAACCGGAATATATATGATAGAACGCATTATTATGACTAACTCTAGCAAGTTTTAGCTAAATATCTTCAAAAATGGCCAAGTTATACGCATTATTGCAAAAAATTAACAATTATTAATTTTTCAAATCAATTTTTCAGCACGTATTTGACATCGTACGCCAATGTAAATAGCACCATCGTGTTCCTGAGCTCAAACTGCATCCAATAGACACCTTTTTTGTTAAAAAATTTTAACTTCAAAATTTGACCTTTTTTGACCTAAAAGTGACCTGACCTAAACTAAATTCGACTCAAAATGACCTCGAATGACACAGACGACATCAAATTCGAAATGTTTGGCCTAAATGGACCATAAAACATGTGTCACGTGACCGACGCATGATATAATATTTTCGTGACCTGTGATGACCTGACCTTGACCTGAAAATCAAAGTACAAGTTTGGTACCCTCAGAGTATCTAGAGTATCTGTTCACGAGTGCGTGAACCAAAAATGAGCCTGCTCTGACTTGTAAGACGGCGGCCAGAGCCCAAAACGTGAAGAAGCCAAAATGCTAATAATTTTTACTTTGACCTGACCTGTGACGTCATCGGTGACCTCGAGGTCAATGAAATTAGGTTTCGCTCGACAGTTTTTCCGGGGCTATCAGACGCCGTTTGAATTTTGACGATCGGCCCAGTAGTTTCGGAGTTAGCAGGGGGGGCTATGAATAGCCCCCCCCCCCAGTAGGGCGTGTTATACGGAGACCCCAGTGGGGCGCGGGTTAAGTTGACCTCTAGCGCTCGTCACTGCCAGATAAGTCAATCACATCCCTGTAGTTTGTACAGACTATTGCCTTAACCCTTCATCCGGCATGCGTTCATTCTGTAATGATGGGCAACGAATCACCGGCGATTTCTGCGTGGCTCTATATGACATCCTCGTCCGTTCCCCAGGTCAATTGGTTCGGTGACTTTCAAATTATAGCAGGCCCTTCCTCGGTCAGGCTTGATGGATCCACTGTCACTTTGCGCGGTACTTTTAAGACAGACTATACCTTCTACCAACACGACTGACTGATTACAATCTGATGCGAAAGGGACAATATCTCGTCGGTCTATCAGTTAAAGTTTAATATTCAGCGACACAAGTGTGAAGGCTGCCTGGAAAACTTGCAACAAACTAAGTAAACTAAGCTTGGCTTGTAATGGGCACAAACTTGTAATAAAGAGGTACTTTAACAAATCCACAATGTTCTGTTCAGGCAAGTAGCCTTCACATATGAAGAATTGCTATGACTACTCTTCTAGAGCTGATTGATAGCTTTTGAAGGGAGGAGCTGAGCTGTGGCTGAGCCCTACCATTCACCACTTATCACTTTCAACAATTGCTTGAGGCATGCAGTTCTCTATCACTAGAAAATATCTGACAATTTGCTAGCTCTCATTTGTGTATGATGCAACACGCTTTGCATCAGTGATACTATGACACAAAATGTTGAACACTAGCATAGGTTGCAATGTAGATCCAAGGTGTCCCAGAAGCCAGAGCAAAAATTGACACCTTAATCAACTTCATGATTGTGCAAAACTCCACTGCTTGACTACACAGAGCACCAACTGTTTGCTCCTCTAAACTTTCACCAAAGGAAGTGTTGCTGATCTCATTTGTAGCAGCAGTGACACTGGTAACTTCAAATCACAGGATCTGGTAGCATCCATGCTCTTGAATCTGGATCTTATCAATGCAGCATTGCACCTGTGAATAAATGAAAAATGGCATAAGACAGTAGGAAAAGTTCTTGGCAAGTCATAATGAGATACATATGTTTAACATGCATGGATAAAAGGACTTTATATATTGAAGCAATTAGCAAAACATTGCAGTTTAAGCAAAGTTGAAATCTGATATGATGAACTGGATACAGTGACATCATCAAGACCCATGAACTTTACACAAAGTATTTGCAATTTTGAAATGCACTTTTATTGCAGTTACCTATACAAATGTTCTAGAAGGTGAAAATTAATTTTAAAAAACAGCAAAAAACTTGCCCATATTTAGTTGCTAAAAAAGCTGAGTGAATATTCTAAAATGGTGTTCACTTCAGTGTGAATCAAAACTTAGAGTAAACAATTATTTACTTGATGAAATGAAGATATTATATCAATAATGAGTAGCTTTAGGTGGTGATGAGTTAAAAAAAAAAACATTTTGCAAGAAAGGCTATCAGTTACTTCTGGATGATATACTGCAGTGCACAAGCTGTTCACCAACTCCTACCTGGCCTTTCAGTGGGATCCCTCTGTATGCACCTCAGAACTTCATCCGCAGGGCTGGTTCCTTCATACGCAGGTCCTCTGCCTTCCTTGATTCCTCGGACTCCATCCTGACAGCTCCGCACCAGAAGCATGATTGCACTGGGCACCTGTAACACCATGTAGGATGATCAATACTTGTAACAATTCATAAATAGTAGGTAGCTTAGTGTTCTATTACATATACTTCCTAGTTGCTGGTGTCAAAATAGATCCTATTTGTCTTTTTCCATCATAACCTTTATCTGCATGCAATATCTTTGGTACCAGACAAAGTAGAACACTGCTAAAATGCTTGCAATGGATCTTATAAAAATGCATTGAATTTATATAATCATTATCAGCAGCATGTATCATCTTTTAATGCCTTTCTCTAAGGGCAGGTCAATTTCCTATAATGATATGCCCATACCTAAACTTATACAGGTAAATTACTTCATATGGGCAATACAAGATCCAGCTAGGAGTTAAGTTAGACTATTTTATACTCTTAGTTATGCTCGCCATAAAAAAAAAAATGTCGGGAAACGTGATACATCGATGGAATTACCGTTTGGAGTCGGTCTATCTTCGGCTTCTCGCCTCTCTTCGGCTACGTCAATTGAAGCCTTTCTAAGTCTCCTGTCCTTTGTAAACTTGCCTTTCCATGTTTGTGACACTTGCTGAATATAAATTCACAACCCATCTAAGCAAAATTCAAATCAATTGCTATCAAATTCACCGAAATTCAGTCCCTCGGACCGACACCGCACGTACTCCACACAGTGCAAAACACAGTGGCGCATTCGCCGCCACAGTTTCTGTGTCCAAAGAAGGCAGTGCTGCCACCTGGTGAGGAAATAAGCCGAACATCCCCATTGAGATTCAGCGTCAGCTTCATCCGGATTTGGTCGATCTCTGACCGCGGCGGAAAATCCCTCCACTCACAGCCATGCCCACATCCACACCCACACCCACACCCACACCCACACCCACACCCACACTCTTACACACTCACGCACTCACCAAGGTGACAATGAACGTGAAATGCTCCACTCAACGGGTCGAGAGGTGAAGACGATCGCCCTCGGTTCCCGGAGCGTTTATTTGAGGTCTTGTCGAATCATCGTTGCTGGTTCAGCGGTCTCGAGCCACTATACATATTTACCGTTAGTGGCGGTGTGTGACATTGAGGCTACCCCCTCGAAAGATCAAGAGACTACGACGGCGGCAAGATTCCTTGTGTAATGAAATAAACTTATCACTTATATATGTAACATATACACGGCTATCTGGCTTCCTAAAGCCTGAAACAGACTCTTTCCGCAGACAGGAAATCGCATGCGAGAGCCTATTCAAATACATGGAACTAGCACGCTCGCATCAAACGCACGCACCTCCCGCAAGCGATTGATGCGAGAAGAATTACAATGTATTTGAAAAAGGCTCTCGCATGCGATTTCCTGAACGCGGAAAGAGTCTGTTTCAGCCTTAAGAGCTAGGGCCCAACACTTCCCGGGTCAAAGGGGTGGTGCGAGACGTAACATTTTTCTTTATTTAGACCTTTTGTCAAAAGGTAAACCTTATCCTGTAAACCTTTTGTTTGTTTGTTTGTTTGTTTGTTGGTTTGCGAATGTCATATCCAATCCCGACTGGATTTATCTCATCAACCTTTTCCGACCATTACCGTTATGAATAACTAAGCGGGGCTTCCCGAATTGGGCGAAAGCTTTGCGATTATTTCCACATACATACGCCCCGGATGAGGGTTCCCTCACCGTTTTGCGCCTATCATTGAGCTAGACCTGAAAGAAGTTGTGCACCGTTACGCGACTCAGCGACTGGTTCATATTTATAAGTCCTCGGGTCAACTCGCCGGTCACCTCTGAGGTCAGCTCAAATATCACAAGGCACGGGCTTGCTTTTTGTTAAATTATTTCATCATAAATAGTCACATAGCCACAATCTTGACACCATCATTTTACCCGCGCTCAGGCGCGTCGAATGGCATGCTTTTTGTTTAGGTGAGTTCAAAGCAGAGTGTTGACCTCAGATCAAGGTCGGGTCAAGGTGGTCGCTCAGGTCACGAAGCTGGTCATAGGTCAGGAAGTCATGACGCATTTAATTCGATCTGCCACCTCTTTTTTAATTCATTGCTGCCCTTTCTGACTTCGAGCGAGTGTTATCTAGCTGAATATGTTGCATAATTTTGGTAGTGATGCCCAATGCCTATCTCTTTCCTGTTGGTGGTTTTAGCTAATGTGTCATGAAATGCCGGCCAATTCCAGAGCACCAATCATCTTACTCTCTTCAGGCACCGAAAATTTAACACGAGTGGTGCACGTGACTCAGCACAACGGTAGACAATCCCCATCACACAATCACACATTCCATTCCGTGGCGTCGTCGGCGCCGTGACTCACCGATGACGTCATAGTGTGCAGTGTATGACGTCACCGGCTCCGCCAGGTGCACGAGCGACGGCGGCGCGGCACCTGGCGATCCTCCCCTGAATCGATCGGCCGCCTGGCGCCGCAGCGACACGTGTTTGCCAGCTGTGACGCTGTTTGTCTTCTGCGCGGTTCTGGCGATCTGCCTATGGTGGGTGCGGGGAGGACACCGAAGAGCCCGCCTCCCAAATCTGCGGCGCTGGAGCCGCCTCTGGCAGTGGAGCGGGCGGACGGCAGGCGCCCTATCGCAGTGCACACTCGCGGGACGGTGGACGTGGGCCGATAGGGGCGGACACCCGTGAAGACAGTGTACTAAAGCCACGCTGGATTGAAGTGAAGAGTCACTGGTGTCGGTGTCAGCTGTTTGTGTCAATCGGAGTGTCAGTGTCACAGGAGTCGGTGTCAGCGGCTGGCAGTGATTGTGGCGTGACTCGATAGTGATTTGGTCAGCGGCGCCGGCTGGTGCGACGCTGGGTCTCAGTGAATCGACCACAGACATCAGACGCCGCCAAACGGCGCCGCGCCAGTGGTGCTGCAAGGCTTAGCTGATAAACAGCGGTCTGACATCTGGTCTTTTACACATATCCAGCAATCAAGTGGTCCTGCAATCGGCACTAAAACGCAACTTTAGTGTCGCAACCTGAGACAATATCGTCACTTCGTGAAGTGACCTTGTGTCTGACCGCGTGACCTTACCTTGTGATCAGGTCTGACTGGCTGGGTCCGGTCAGGTTTGACACGCTCTGTTGGTGACACGCTCTCGATTGTAATGATTTCTTCGAGGGATTTTTTCAAGTGACATCTTGAAGTGACATCTTCAAGCGACCTCTTCAATGACTTATTCAAGCGTCCAGTTCAAAACTGCTTCGAAATACCGCTTCAAGTGACCTCTTCAAGTCCAAGTGACCTCTTCTGGGCCAGTTAGGCTGGCTGCTGGTTGCTTCCCGAGTCTGACAGGACATCAGTCACGATGGCTCGAGATCGTCTTCTAGAGCTGCAGCAGCGGGCCGGAAATGCTCCAACCATCACCCCCGCGCCTCTCCCGGCGGCTCCGGCGGCTCCCGCACCTCCGGCAGCTCCTGCGAGCTCCTCTGACCCGGAGGCCGGCCAGCCGGTGGTGGTCGTCTCGCGTCCCTCCCGGCTGGCGCGCTTCCTCCGCCGTGCCCCGGCCGGGGCAGCTGCCGGGACAGCTGCGGGGACAGCTGCGGCAGCTGCCGGCCAGCAGGAGCAGCCGCTGGTGCAGCAGCTGCAGCAGGAGCTGGCCGAGCTGAGCGCCGCGCTGGCCGAGACGCGCGCCGCTGTGGACGAGGTCAGCAGGCAGCAGTGTCGTCAGCTGAACTCACCGAGACACCAGGAGCAGGCCTGGCAACAGACCCAGGACAGCGCCGCGGCCGCCCTCGCCAACATCAGCCGGATCAAGACCAAGCTGGACAGACTCCAGAAGAAGGTGAGCTAGGATGTTGCTTTTTCGTGGGTCGTGAGTCATGAGATGAATGCAGGCATGCTTGGTTGGCTGTTTCGGTCGCTACCTTGTCTGCCAGGCCATGGATGCCTGGCCTTGACTTCCACGTGGGCCATCCATGGCTTGTATTATCGTAAAATTATGAGGAATTTGCCAGAGCCTCAACAGTGCAGTGCAAGTATGATACGGGTGGAATGCCACTTCAAACACGAGCAGTTGTACTGAGATACAGATAAGATTTCGTGATCGTTCGAATCGGACACCGCGCGCATGAGACTGACCACTTTGAATGACTGGGGCAACAGGGAAATGGAATCGAAGAGGGAAATGCTTAATAACGTTCTCAGCACCTGTCAAAAGAATAGGGATGTCTTATGTGACTCGAGTAGGCCGTAGTCCCTTAGATGGCATGGCATATAACCTTGCTTCCGGCAGCATTAGATGGAGCGAGCAAAACTGATGCACAAACCAAGCCCTCATGAGATGCTAAAATCAGGAAGATCCCGTTTTGCACGCTTTTCTAAATCACTGAACATTTGTAATCTAAGTGCGCTGACAATGCCTGTCAGTTAAATCAAAGTTACATCCGACTGCTTTTAACAGCGACATGTAAACAATCCTGCATACGACGACTGCATAATAGTGACGTCACCGGTCCTTCCACCAGCTGACGGAGTCCCTGCCGGAGCTGACGGCGACCCAGGCCAAGATGCTGCAGAACCAGGTGAACGGTTTTCGCACCCAGCTGCTCACTGTCGTCCAACGTTTCAACGAGGAGGAGATGAACTTCAGGGCAAAGTATGCACGCGTGAGACGCGCGTTTGCTTCATTTGGCTCTCATTGAATGATAACATATATATGATTGATGGCTGTGATGAGCATGGTTAATATAGTTATGGTGTGAATGATGATATAGCCTTTGCTTATAATCAATAGAAAGATAATGAAAAACAAAGTGGGTATGCACAAATCTTTCGACTTGCGAATCTTCTTTTTGTGATATATTACCCCGACTCTGTTACCTGTTACGCCGCCCTATATAAGCTGCTATGTCAGTCCCGTTGCCTTCGATGAGGGCCCACTCCCAGTTGTCACTCCACGTCCTATTTGTTTTTGTGCGGCCAGGAAGAAGGATCACCTGAAGCGGCAACTGCAGATCACGGGCGCCGACATGGACGACGACGAACTGGAGAACTTGATAGACCGAGGCGACGCCCAGATCTTCAACGAAAGTACGACTTTTGCTCACCCACACGCGGCTGTGATTCTTACAGCATGGTTTAACCATTGAGGGCTATGATGTAGACTTATGAAATCACATCATAAGACACATTTATTAAGCGTAAAAAGGTGTCTATGATTCTTGCGAATCGTTTCAAACTATTATAACGTGTATGATATGGTTTGAGGTCCGAGACATCTGTCCTACTTTCCGTTTTGGTTGGAGGCGGTGCGATTGGTGCATAGAAAGTTTACGTCTCCGGTCTCAAGTAGTTTTAACTGTAAAGTGTAAGCATTTTCTAGCGCTATATTTGGTGATTCGTATTTAAATTTGTAATTTCATATTTGCTTCAGGCAAGCAGACTGCAGAGAAATGGTGCAGTTTAGCCCACAGCCCACTACATGGTTTGTTATTTTCCACCACCCTACCTCCCCCTGCAGGCATTCTGATGCGCGTGGAGACAGCGCGTGCAGAACTGAACGAAGCCGAGGAGCGGTACGAGCAGATCCGCGCACTGGAGATGTCCATACAGCAGCTGCACGAGATGTTCCTCCAGCTGTCGCTACTGGTGCAGCAGCAGGGCGAGATGGTCGACCGCATCGAGGAAAATGTGAGAACACGGTGCACACTGCACAGATGGTAGTTATCCTTTAACTCGGCACTGGTAACCTTTTTTACTGAGCAGTTCACTATCTCTGGATCTCTTTGTGATTGAATGCTGTTGCATGCTATTTTTTAGTGTTCATTCATTTGTAAAATATTTATTGGCAGGTTACGACCAGTTTCATTTTTAACCCGCGTCTCACTCCATTGTCTTGTTTGTTTTGTTGGGTTAGGCCCTTTCGGTTCAATGAGACCATTTCAGAGCCGGGAGGATAATAGGAATTAGGGGGAGACATTGGTCTGGGCAGGCACCTATAGTGAGTCGCCGGGGCTGAGCCCGTCCAGAGGACAGGCCACCAGCCCCAAGGTACTCATTGCACCCGGCTACGGGTGTGCTCCCTCGGGAGCAGCAGTGCCACTCCGAGGGAGCAGCCCACATGAGATAAAGTTGCTTAGAAAAGTTGCGCGTTTCTAAATTTTCATTTTGTGACCTCGACTGCGTCTCGGTCACAAAATGAAATTTTAGAAACGCTCGTGTACTAAGCTATATTGTCCAGCCCGGAGTGGTGGTTGCATCGTGGAGGAGAAGCATTTCAGTATCCTGAGGAGGGAAACGACGGACGGATGTGACTCCATTGTCATTATTAGCACGCCCATTACCGATTCCATGACATGCGACGCTTCCCGATCAACATTTTTGTTTCCTTGGCTAGGCTAGTGCTCAGTCCTGCATTACCGTAGGTATGTACAGTAGGTCTATTAAAAAAGTCCCCAGCACCAGTGGGCGCTGCCTTCGCTGAGCCGAACCCCCGTCTGCCTGCCCCATATCGCGCCGCGCTCAGGTCAGGTAGGGTCAGCGGGACCGCTCGGTCCGGCCGCGGGCGGTGGACGGGCGGCCGGTAACGCTTTCCGCCAGCCAGCTGTAGAATCCAACAAACGGGACGGCCACCGCTCAGCGCAGCGAAACCGGTGTTAAAGAATGGCAGTAGATGTTCATGACCACAATGATTATGAGATAGTCATTGTTAGCCCCACAGGAATGCGTAGACTCTCACGCCCTGTTGGAGGGGAAATGGGGATTGAGCATCATTCTTATAACTCAGCTTTGGGCATCTAATTGGTATTCGAAGTAGCGTCAAAGGAAGCAAAAAGAAGACCAAAAATTCTTCAATCAAATTTGGATCGGGTCGTAGCCAGAGGTCATGTCACTAGAGGTCATCGATCATAAAATTTTGCTTAGACAGGGTGCGTTGCGCGCACCGGTGCATTAGGTTTCCAATTTCCATGGGAACATCAACAGACTCGGAAGCTTGCAACGCTAGCGTGGAGCCGAATTCATATCAACCGCCGCAACAATGCAGCAGCGCAGCGCAGCGTGCTGCAGCGCGGGGCCGTGAAACACCGCCCAGGGCTATTCATGTGTCAGGGCAATCCAACCCACGTGATGGGCTCGGCCCCAGCGGAGCATGAGGTCCAGGACTCCCGCCCAGGTCCCCTGTCTCCCCCTAATTCCTATCATCCTTCCCACTCTGAAATCGACTGAAAGAGCCTAACCTAACACAACAATCAGCTCGTTTACCGCTATGTCTGAATAATATTGCCAGATTTAACTAAGGTCAACGGCTTAGCATGTAAATAACAACAACTGCCACCATCGGTATTATGAGAAAACCAATTGCTTTTCCACAAGCACTTAAAAGTTTTTAGCTTAAAACTTGCATGAAATTAATTTTACCAGCCTCGTGTTCCTCTTATCAAAACGCTTCGAATGAATCAAAAGTTGATCTTTAAAGGTCATTTGAAAAATTTGGCCTATGTTCAAAGACATGACCTGACCAGAAATGGTCATAATGCATAGCAGGATATTAGATCCGTATCGTGGAACTTTACAAACACTTCAGATGATTTCATAACTTAAGCATGTCTATCAAAAATAATTATTACATGGCTCATATGTAAGCTGGGTGCGTGAACATGCTTATGAGTATGTTGAACGCAACTGATAATGTTCTGTTGGCCACAATTTCTATATTTGATTTACCCTCCCGGATTTCATATTTGTGTTAATGACACCTTGACGATGTCGAGAAAAAACGCTTAGGAGATTTAACAGCCTGAGATACATTCAGTATAAGGAAGGGTCAAGGGTGCTAGATTCCTTCCGTCCTCGCTATCCTCAGGAAAAACCAATCCGCATCGCCCCTAGTCTTCATGTTTCCCTCTCTGAACTGGAGGTCACCCCACCAGCCAACCTGTAGTTGATGTCGGATCCATTCCAGGACACATAATCCTTTTCGGGTGACCGTTTGGGAGACGGCTGGACCGTCCCGACAGGGCAATCGTCCCACGGGAACAGTCTCGCTTCCGCAGATCACTGTCGCTGGCTCGCACAACCCAATTACTACACCAGAGCATAGTTATGTCATAGCTCTGCAAGGGCCTTTTCAGACCGAAAAAGATGGCCCCCAACAAAACAAACAATTTTCTCATTCGGTATTGTATCTCATCAAGCAGTAAGCACCACATGTTCTCAGAGTGTTTGTTATGCGTTCCGTCCAAAAAAGCGCAGTTCAATTTTCTCCCATTGACTTGAGTGATCTCGAAATTGACCCGGCCTTTCTGTCAACAATGTCAAACATGCAAAATAAACGTTTCAAATACATATACTGTTGCCCATTAACCCGCGCCCCGTAGGGCTACCGGCGGACCCTATACCACCCGTAGGGGGGGGGGGGTCGTTTCGGCCCCTCCCCCTAAGATCTCGGAAACTTACCGGCCGATTTTCAAAATTCAAACGGTGTTCGATAGCCCCAAGAGGGAACTACCTTGTGACCAACTTTCATTGGCCTAGGTCAAACCGGTGACGTCACAGGTCAGGTCAAAGGTCGGATTTTCACCATTCACAGGCATTTCAAGAAATGTGTTGTGAAATCGAGTAAATTGGTAAGTTATTGAAAATCATCGATGGTACATTGTTCGTCAAACACAAACTTCGCTATCTTAGGTCATTGATACCAGGTCAGGTCACAGAGGTCAGGTCACTGGGGGTCACAATATGAAAGTGTCGTGTGATACATGTTTTATGGTCCATTTTACATGACAAATGCTAAAATGTGGGTCAGGCAGCCTTTGGGGCCAGCTTAGGTCACGTTTTGGTAAAGTTCAGGTCAAGGTCAGGTCAAATTAGGTCAAATTTCAAAGTTGATATTTTGCATAAAATGAGTATCAATTCGATACAGCTCGTCACGGGGAGTCCAATGGTGGTCTTTGTTTTGCCCTAAGATGTCTAGAATTGCCAAAAATTGAGTTTGAAAATTTGACGTCATCATTTTTGAACAGTTTTTTTTTTCGCTATAACTTCGCAAAAAACGAGATATCGATCTGAAATTTAGTATGTATATAGAAAACGGTAGGTGCTATCACATATATTCCGGTTTTTCGAAACTCATAAACTTTTTGGATTTTTTGGCTAATATATACAAAAAATGGGTTTTTTATTTTTGGGGGTCAAAACTGAAAAGTTTCAAAAATCCGAGATAGCAATTTTGTAGCCCTGTCGATTCTACACCTTTTATATCTTGATCATTTTTCTGTATCTTCAAAGCTGTAGGCCTGACAGCTCTTCTCGCGAAGGTCTTTTTTCGGTCGAAAATGGCAGAACATGACGTCATTGTGACGTCATTTGTGGCCAACCTATCATAGCCTCTGGAAAATTTTGGTCACAATGTGTAAAATTGATGCCCGGAGGGGTCCTGAAAGTTCAGTGGCGATATCTCCAGTCGTTTAGGAGCTATCGACGGAAAAAGGACAGGGGGGGAGCGTTTCGGCCCCCCTACGGGGCGTGGGTTAAAATCGCTGAAAGTTCTGAAGCGGTCGGTTAGTCGGTGTATTTAGATATGATGAGCACAGGAACTTTCCTTGAGGTAAGGTCACTTGACGTGACCTGGTGTTTTGACCCTGAATTTAAAGACTTGGGCGGGAAAAAATGGGCCATTTGAAATCTTAAAATGCTAGATTTTAACAATAATTGCAAACACTATCCCGGCCAAATAGTGAGTGAGGAGGGAGCGATTCCCCGACCCCATGTTTAGCTCCTATAATTGAGCTAGCTGCTAGAGCCTCGCGGAAAAAACGAGCGTTTGCGTCGTTACGTGACGCAGCGACTAGTACCCCATTTTAAAATATCAGTGACCTCTTAGGGCAGGTCAAGGGCCCCAAAGCATTTGATCGGTTTTTGGTAAATAACTTAACGCGTTATCGTCATTTCGATATAATCGTGTTTTCTGTTCTCAGACGCGTCGATTTATATGCTTTTTTGTTTAGGTGAAGCAATTTAGGATGTTTACCTCAGGTCAATGTCATGTTATGGCAACGCAGGTCACGAAGCTGTTGAAAGGAGGACATGTTGCATAACATTTGATTCGGCAAGTCTTGCAAAGTCCATTGATGGCGTGCTTTGAGCTACCGCAAAAAAATACATGGCCGCCACTTCTTCTCGGCCGGCGAGGGTTAAACCTCGCTTCGAATTATTGCAGATGATTATGCGACCGAAAACAAAGCATTTATCTGTGTCTAGAACGGCCGCTGACTTATTGGACAAGATCCTTAATCTTAAGTCGCTAGATGGGAATAAAATAATCGGTATGTGATACATATAGTTATACCCCTCGATTTGCCCTCGCGCTAAGTCTATTCATCACTGTCGCTTTTTTATCCGAGATGATGTCGCCACTAAACGGGTTGTTTTGTTTGCTTGCTTGCGTTGAATGGCCATTACGGATTATTGAAGGATTATGATAAAATCGGAATGGGGCAAGGGAGGATATGCACTGCAGGTGTTTAATTTAGATCACAAAGGCATCATTTCCGGCATCGTGCAGAGTCATTATCTTCCCCTCTGCACCGCGGCATCTCTGCGCCCCACACACGGCGTCCTCACTCCACGGCCGGCCGCCGCCAACTGACCCACTCGCCGGGCGCCGCGACCTGACCCGTGTCGCTGCCGCGGCCTGCGCAATAGAGTCGGGGCTGGAATCCGGGGGTTCGGCCGGCCGGCCGCCTCTGGAGCGGGGGACTTTTTTAGTAGACCTACTGTACATACATATTTATAGCACGTCCGGGGATAGGACATTGCGGGACAGTATATCTGCAGGCGTCCTGCTACTGCCATCTAGGGGCGAAAGGTGCAGGTTTAGTTCATTGCGGCACAGTATATCTGCAGGCGTTCTGCTACTGCCATCTAGGGGCGAAACGTGCAGGTATATGTAGATTACTGCGGCACAGTATATCTGCAGGCGTCCTGCTACTGCCATCTAGGGGCGAAACGTGCAGGTATAGCTCATTGCGGCACAGTATATCTGCAGGCGCTCTGCTACTGCCATCTAGGGGCGAAAGGTGCAAGCATAACTAGTTCATTGCGGCACAGTATATCTGCAGGCGCTCTGCTACTGCCATCTAGCGGCGAAACGTGCAGGTATACATAGTTCATTGCGGCACAGTATATCTGCAGGCGTCCTGCTACTGCCATCCAGGGGCGCAACGCGAATATGTCATTATTGCGACAGTGTATCACTCACCAGGCGTTTTGCTACTGCCATTTATGGACGAAATGCAATGAGAACAGTTACTGAGCATTGTAGGGCAATATCGCTTCAGACGCAGCAAACGTGCTGTAAATTGTAATGACGACAGTTGAACTGTGTCGCTGTCTCCAAATTTCTTTTAGTTACTCGCGACTAGAGCTGTGTTCTCAATTTCCCCGTTTCACTTGCCCTAAAAGTTATAAAACCGCTTCCCGAATTAACCGCTTACCCGAGTTTTGCGCAGCAGCGTGAACTTAAGTTACAGATCAACGAATGAAGTCAAAGTGAATGATACGCCATTTTTCTTTAAATGTACCTAAACATAGTACCTATTAGGGTTATGAGTCGCGTCGCTCTATCTATTTGTTGTGATAACTTAACTTTGTTTGCCTCGAAAGTCGAACATGACGTAAGGTAAATTTGATAGTTCATTTGTTGTCAGCAGCTCTTAATGAATTATGTAATGGCTATATATGTAGGTATAGATACCTACATATACACTAGTCGTGGCATGATGTTTATGTGAGCGTAATGCGTATACATATTTCGTAGTTAAATGGCTAACTAAAGCTCGTTATTTCCACAGACGTTCCAGACGGCTGCGAAAGCAGAAGGAGGTGCCAAGCAGCTTCACGGAGCGCTGAAAAAGCAGCAGCGAGGCCGGAAGATGCGGATCGTATGCGGGATTCTGGTGGCCGTCATCATCGTCATATTGGTCATCATCCTCCTCAGCTACCTCGGGTAGTGTGCCTGTCTGGATCCAGACTCCAGTGTACTCTACCGTCCATCCAGAACTACCAGTGCGGTGCTGTCCTGTAGAACGAAATACTGAGCGTATGAGTGCGATCGTGTGACGAAATGTGATAGCCCTCGGCCAGCCTGATGCGTGTTTAGGACTGGTGCGTGTCATGATGCCGTTTTGGAATGTGCTGCGTCTTCGCTGACTTGGACAGCAGTGGTGATCATGGGGACGATATGTGATGATACCCCGTAGGAAGAGTAGGACGAGACTCAGATTCCGTGATTGGGCCGCAAAGCGAAAACTTCATTATGAGACTGCCGTGGGAGCTCTTGCAACTCATTGACTCACGTGCTTCTGAGGGAACTACCAGAAGACCCACATCGTCCGAGTGTGTTACAACGACTCATGAACTCACAGACTGCGAGTGAAGTGTTAGCTGTGCTATCGTACCAACCATGCCCTCAGTCACAGCAGGATGGCGGCACAGTGCGCGGTGTGCAGCGCACACTCGTCAGTGACAACAGCGAGCCTATCCATTATCTCACTGTCCCATAAGCCGTATGTGCACTAGTGGTGTCAATTTCAGAAAACGTTTGTCCAATGTCCGTCAAATGTCCAATACTTATGTCGATTGCCCGTCCAAAAATGTTCAAGCCAGCCATTTGTCCAAAGATGTCCGACACCTTCGCAATAGTTAACACTCAACGTTGTTATTTAATTTGCTTTTAATGTACCATCACCAGCTCAAAAGCGTTAATCATATCGAAAGCTGAGCATCCTAATAGCCAATCAATGTTAAACACGATTACTTTATAAAAATGTTGAGGTGTAGCAAGCGATTGTCCAAAGTTATCCAAAGCCTGCTGTCATTGTCCAACCGAATTCCGAATTGGACATTGGACAAAATCGGAATTCCGAAGATTCAAGTTCCGATTGACACCACTAATGTGCACATAAACGTCATACGGCAATTGGAGCAAGCCAACAGTGGATGCGAGATGTTTACATGCAATAGCATAAAATGGTATTTTGGTGAGGGTTTTGGTGCTTACGCCAGTGTCCTTAACTCCTTAGTGTATTTATAGGTGTCATTTATATCAGCGCAATAAAGCTTGGGTAATCTTTGGTCACCGTTATGGGCGTAAGTGCGTATCGCACCATCCATGCGCCCTTTGCTGTTAGGTTTCGCAGGTGGAGCTAGTAGTCACACATGACAATCTAACAGATGTCGCAGCGTAACTCGTGAGTCCGATTCCATATCGGTCGCGTCTTTTGTTATCCATCTGCTATCCTCTCTGAGGATGTGCAGTGAGTCCAGAGGTGAAATATAAAACGATGATTCGACCGGTAACATGCTCGATGATCTTCGAGTACCTAATAGCCAACTATTCATTCATCAAAGAAACGTTAGTGAGGGTACAAAGTTGACTAGACCTCGAAGCTACTACAGATGGCTTCGAAGGTCTAGATATGACGCGGCCCATGCCTGCCCCCCCCCCCCCGGGTCAAAATTCCCAATTCCCTAGCTGATGCCCTACATCATACCATGTGTGAAGGGATGCAAATGGGACGACCAATGCTTCTCCTTCGTGCTCACAGCTCGTTCCATTGAATACCAAAGCCCATACTTTTGTCACGTAAATGCAGTGTATTTGCAGCAACACCGCGCGAGATGCAGCATTCACGATGGGGGCCAGCATTACGCCAGGGATGTGCTCAACAGGGTAATCGGTTCTTTTTCTGTATAACTAGCCACACATCCCAGTTCAAACGTGGGACAAACTCAGCTTTTTGACAGAACAGATGTCTTATAGATAATGTCGGCAAGGGCATGTGAACACAAAATTACAGTTGAACGCATTCATCTAATTCTTAAATAACGTAATACTGAAAAACACACATTTCCCGTAACTTCGTTGCTTTCTGAATATGATCGGAACTGCGCATTTCATAAATTAGATAAGACTGACTAGTCCTTCATACCAGTACCGTCACATAAAACCCATCTGGAAAACGCCACAACGGCCCTCAGCGCGCTTACAACTACCAAACGTGTGAACACTAAGCAGCACAATTTGACATGAAAAGCCGAGGGCAGCATCGGATTCCTGACATGGAGAAACGTCACAGACTGTTTCCGATAAAACTATTAGATTTAATCGAAACCCAATAAAAACCGTAACAGAAAGAGCAAATAACTAGGTAAGGAACAGAAACAAGAAAAACCCGCTGCCTCAAGTGAAGAACTCAAGTTTCGTGAGTAACCAATCACAACTCACAAACACGCTAGCTCACAACAGCAAGAGCACGAGTAGTAAGACAATAGACGCGAACCAATCGTGACACGTAGAACCCAGCCATTGTTCTCTCAACAAATTTCCTAGTGTCTTCAAGACTACCTACATGATCCATGGGACCACTCAGCATCAGCCATCACCGCGTTCCTTCGATAGATTGGAAGACAGGTAAGCATGCAGCAACAACAAATCGCTTACTTAGCTTCCTCTTAGGCGAAAGTAACCACTTACGCACACGCACACAAATGATTAGTGCTGAATTATGTCTTTGTCACGGTTGGCAATCCGTTGGCCAGTGTTTCGGTGACATGAAGTAGCTCGCGTGGTCGCGCATGGTTGAAGTCGCCAGTCGCCAGAGCACGGTGTTCGTTGAGGCGTATCAGTGACGCGCAGCGCTGAACGGCGGTGTCACGGCGGTCAACACGGCCCAGTTAGTCAGTGGGCCGCGGCCCTCGAGTGTGACCTCTGCAGTCGGTAAGTGAAGGTGATCGGGGGACTACCACGACCTCCGCACCACTTCGTCAGTAACTGGTAGTTTTGATTTGCTTTCTACATCCAACTCTGGCAGAGGGTGATCCTATATCACCACAGGTCGTTGCAGAAACTTGTTGGATCAGTGAACTTAGCAGCATCACCACCAAGCATTCCTAATGTCATTTCGGCAACATATAAACACGAGACGACCATACATCAACCGCGCAATTCAGTTACCCTTTCGATTTTTAACACAAGTAGCTTGTCCGACATGCTTCCACTATTCCTGCTTTTTGTGTCCCCACGCGAATACAAGTACTTTTAGTTTCATTCACTGTAATAAAGAGTAAAATATCACAATTGGTATTTTTAATGAAGTATTTCATTCTGGCAAAGAACTTCAATTGCACGATTGCTTTAAGCCTCAATGAATGCTTCACTGAAGCATATTCATAATTTGCATTTCAACAGATCTAGTTACTTATCATATCCGGCATCTTTCAGTTATTCAATTTCCACCCGCGTCATTCACTCATCACAAAGCTGTCAGCTCTGCAAAGACTTGGTCTCACTGGCATCTTGGTCACACGCCACCACCGCTTCTTTCCACGGGGATCCGGACGTTGTCGCTCCCGGCATCCTTCTGACGTGCGCGGGTGCCACGAGGGGTGCCTCTCTTCAGCCCCGCCATAATCTGCATGTAAGTAGCCAGGTCGACGCAGCCGTGGTGCGCCGGGTCCGCCTCGGAGAGCATGTTGTGGATATGGGCTCCGGGCATGTCCTCCAACTCCTGGCGCAAGTCGTTAACGGTGATGAAGCCCTTCTTCTCGCGGTCGAGCTCCTGGAAGCGGCGGGTGTACGCCTGTACTTCTCGAACGGTCAGGCTGATGGGCACCTGCAGGCGCGACTCCTGGTTCACCATCTGACCCATCTCTGTACGCAGGAACGTCAACGCTTGCTCGTGTTGACGCTGTTTCTCCGCAGCGTTCCAGCCGAGCTCCTCGGCCATAATTTCAACCACGCGAGGTAGCACCTGCTCTGCGACGACATTGTTGAGAAACGCCAGCCGCAGGCGACGTCCGATCACGTCCACAGCGGTGGCGGCGTACTCCTTCACAGCGTAGCGCACCTCCGCTTCCAGGTAAGGGAACTCCTCCTCAAGTCGCTTACCCACCGTCGGGAACGCCTTTCCAGTTAGCGCCGCAAGTTTCGCCACAGCGAATGCACGGTCTCCGTAGGTGTCAGCCAAGTGTTTGGCCACCTCCGGGTCGAAGCCCATGTCCTGGACAAGTCGGATGTACATGTTGGGCGTCCAGTCATGCGCGCCCTCCAAGAGGAGGCCTTGGGTGCGACAGCCAGAGCTGGGCTTCAGGCCGGTGGCGCGGACCGCGGTATCGATGGTCTCCTCAGCCATGGACCGGTAGGTAGTCCACTTGCCGCCGGCGATGGTGACCAGACCTGAGGGCGACACGTGAACGATGTGGTTTCGCGCGATACTCTGCGTGTCGGGCTGGTTCGGGTCGGAGACCAGCGGTCGAATGCCGCTCCACGCAGACAGCACGTCGCCACGTCGTACCTCGATCTCGGGGCTCAGGTAGTTGCGGACCTCGCCGAGGATGAAGGCGATGTCCTCCTCGCTGGGTGTCGGGTTCGGCGTCACCTCGCACGGCGAGTCGGTGGTGCCGGCGATGGTGTGCTTCATCCAGGGCAGGAAGAAGATGACCCTGCCGTCGGAGGTCGAGGGGTCGAGCAGACCCATCGAGTCGGGACTGTAATATCCGGGAAGGACCACGTGCACGCCTGCCGACGGTGCGCAGATCTCCTTCAACTTGGGGTCATCCATCTGGCGCAGGGAATCAGTGAACGGTCCCGTGGCGTTGATGACACACCGCGCCCGGACTGAGAACCGCTCCCCGGTCAGTACATCCTCGCAGATGGCGCCGCACACTCGCGGCTCCCCGCCCTTCTCCGCGGGTTCCTTCAGCAGCTCCACCGCGCGACAGTGGTTGGCGACGCTCGCTCCAAGCCGCACGGCGGTGATGGCGATGGCGGTGTTCATTCTGGCGTCGTTGTGCTGACCGTCATAGTACACGATCGCTCCCACTAGGGCATCCGTCTTCAGCATCGGGAACAGCTCCAGCGCACTGCGCTTGCTGAGAATGTAGGACGACTTGAGACATTTGGAGCCGGCCACGATATCGTACATTTTGATTCCGGCGTAAAAGTATGGCAGCTGCCACCACTTGTAGACAGGCAGCATGATCGGCAGCGGGTAGGACAGATGCGGCGCGATCTCCAGCAGGTTGGCACGCTCGTTGAGCGCCTCCCGCACCATCCTATACTGCTCCAGGTCCAGGTTCATGATGGCCTTCTGTAGGTAGCGCACACCACCGTGCAGCAGCTTGGTGCTTCTGCTGGACGTGCCCGAGCCGAAGTCGTCCATCTCGATCATGGCGGTGCTGAGGCCGCGACTGGCGGCATCCAGGGCACAGCCGGCGCCGGTCGCGCCGCCGCCCACCACCAGCACGTCAAACTGCTCGCTGCGCAGGCGTTCTAGCTGCTCGGCGCGGGTGGGCAGCGGGCCGTGGAACCGGCGCTGGACGTCAGTGGCAGGGGACGGCGGCGGCCGGCGGCGCGACTTGCGCGCTGCCAGCACGCCCACGGCCAGAACGCCGCAGCCGGCGGAGGTGACACGCAGCAGGGTGGACATGCTGGACCAGAAGCCGCCCAGTTTTGAGTCAGAGACGCACTACACAGCGTCGCCCGCTTGCTAGTGTTGTCTGTGGACACGAAACATAAGGAACGGTTAGGCTACGCAGTCGTTTTAAAAATCAATGAGTCGTTAACGAGGACGGTGGCGTGAAAAACCAGTTTGGACCGGGTCTAATGCACAGCACAGTCAGTTCGACCCTTCCCTGGGGCCTGGGTTTATGCTAACGATTCCCGTGACGTCCAATGTAATGGACAACGAGCTTGCAGTGGCGTCTGATTGCACAACACTAGCCAGCTGACTGTCCCGCTCAGAGAAGTGGTGTTATTGATCCGTGTTGCGTAAACCGCGTCATGGGCGGAGTTGCACGATACTGTGGGTGCTGGGACACTGTTGAGTGTTGGCAGCCTGCTTCGATCATTCTACATTTTGCTATGCGTATTGAAAGAAGAATGCTGAGAAGCTATGTCACATTTGAAAATATCTCCTAATGTAAAAAACAGCGATAAATGGTCTGATGTTTCGTTTTTGTTCCACTTAGGCATGGAACGGTTAAGATTTTAACGTGGCACGCATCCCCAATACATCGCTATTGGCTCGCATACATACACCGTGAAGCTTCCTCGTTCTTAAATTTGTTCCGATCTTAATGATGCCGTCTGCCCAATAATAAAAACAATGAGAAAACTTACCACCAATAGTAACCACAAATAGGTACCTTAATCATTTGTCACCCTTACGCGCCCCGCTGGGAGGGGGGGGGGGAGAGGGAGGAGATTCTGCCCCCTGTTACATTTTCGAACGATTGGTCGTAGAAAGACAAGGAAAACGGCAATCGAAAGCATTCTACAAGACGGACCCAAAGAGCAA